AATAAAGTGTTCAACTTCAGCTTCACCACACCTGTGTATTTGTAGCACAGGCTTGGAGGAATATAGAATTACAATTTACCTCAATTTTTAATACAACATTTATACCCTCCTTTGATGCACAGTACAGATTCCATAATTTGATGACTTTTCATGAGTTTAAGATCTGAGTTTAACAGTAATCATGCATTAGTACACACTGGCTGAAAGTGCAGGACCTGTAAATGAGCCATACCTTCAATCTTCCCTTTCTGCAGCATGTTAGAGTAGGGAATACCCATTTCAACAATATCTATTATTTTGCTCTGTCTTGCTTTAATTAAGTGCTGACTTCAGCAGCAAAACCTCCCAATTTGTGAGCTGTAGGAGGTATTACGAAAGTGCAGACACTTGAAAGGGCTCTTCTTGTCCCTGTTATGGTCAAATACTGAGCTTACCCATTCTTTCTCACCACATCACATTCTTATAGCCTATGATGGGCAGTCCTACTGACCAATAGGGATGTAAGAAAGGCTGGCGTGGGTGGGCAATTCTACACTTTATATCTGTTAGCATCTTTCCTGATTTTTTAGAATGACAGTATACTTTACAGTTTTGGCTACATGATGGAGTCTAGGGACACCTCTGCATTCTATTCTGCTTTCAATTCCTGTACTCTATTGGATGCCTCTGATTGTAGGGGACCTCTCTGTTCTCTCCTTTTGACCATTATCAAAACAAAGCCTGGGGCTGTGTGAGTACTGTATATTCATGGATCTAGTTAATCCTTTTTTTAGACAAGGTGACACACACAGGTTAAAAAGGCAATTAAAGGTTAATTTCCCACATCTGTGGCTTTTTAAATTGCAATTAGTGTCTGTGTATAAATAGTCAATGAGTTTGTTAGCTCTCATGTGGATGCACTGAGCAGGATAGATACTGAGCCATGGGGAGCAGAAAAGAACTGTTAAAAGACATGCATAACAAGGTAATTTAGCTTTATAAAGATGGGAAAGGTTATAAAAAGATATCCAAAGCCTTGAATATCCCAGTCAGTATTGCTCAATCACTTATTAAGAAGTGTAAAATTCAGCGATCTCTTGATACCAAGCCAAGGTCAGGTAGAGCAAGAAATGCGGCCACAACTGCCAGAAAATTGTTCAGGATATAAAGAAAAACCCACAGGTAACCTCAGGAGAAATACAGGCTACTCTGGAAAAACATGGTGTGGTTGTTTCAAGGAGCACAATATTACAATACATGAACAAAACTGAGCTTCATGGTTAAGTTGCCAGAAAGAAGCCTTTACTGCACCAATGCCACAAAAAAAGCCTGGTTACAATATGCCCAACAACACTTTGACATGCCTTTCCGGGCATTTTTTTTAGTTTAAGCTACAGCAGTTTTTTTCACAGACAATGTTATTACATTTTTAATTAAGCATTCAGAGATTCAATTTTTTAGAATATAGTTTTAATGAAAAGAAAAATGGTGCAGGTAAATAATTACAGAAAAGATATTACAAAATAGACCCAAGCAACAATAAAATAAAAGGGTTTTAAAAGAGGAAACAACATTTAAGTGGAGTTCACCTGCTCTTGGTTCAGTGCAAAGTTCAGATTACGTCTTCATGCACACTGCTGCAGCTGCTGTTTTTGGATTTTGGCATTTTTTTCTACAGCCAGTAAATTCCCCAGCATGTTATCCTATGTGTCCATGCACTCATAGGCTTTAATCAACATTTTTTTGGCAGGGGCGTTTTTTGGCTGGAAAAAAACCCAGAACTAGTGGGTTTCTACAGGAGTGTTTTAGCTTTAAAAACCCTCTAAAGCTGAAAAATGCAGTAAAATGTGATAAAACACGGCAAACTGGCATTTTGGGGGTGGCTTTTTGTTAGCAAATGTTTTTTGTGTGTGTAAAAAATGCCAAAAAACATAAATGCAGAAAAACGTCTAAACGTTAATGCAAAAATGTTAAAAATTGCTGAAAAACTTGCGTTTTTTAACGCGACTTTACACAGCTAACGCTACCAGCATTAATAAAACACTTAGTGTGCATGGAGCCTACTTGTCAAGTCTGCCATGGCACAGATGCTGGCCCTCAGAAATGTGACTTTCGGTATCCTTGGAATACAAACGAAAGCTCAAAGCTGCTAATGCAGCAGCTTTTTCTTTCCTTCCAAGAGGGTGTCACAGATCTAACTGCACCCAATAAAAGGGTCAAAGGGGTCTGTTGGAGGTTTGTTGGAGAGTATTTTATTATGTTCAGAGGACATATTCTAAAAGCTGAAGTTTAGTTTAAAAAATAGTTTGCTATCAGCTGCAGTCACATAATTTACCAGTAATATAGTGTATTCCACACTCTGCAGGCTGATGTTTCCTGTAGAAACCTTCTCTTCAGTGATGCCTGGTCCTTTTCACAGCATTGAACTTCCAGCACTGCAGGGGTTAATAGTTTCAGGTCTAACATTGCAGAAGATGTTTCTGCCTTGCCCCTTTCTGTCCTCTGCTTCATTCACAATAGTTCTTGCATTGTTTTCACAGTTCAAAACTTGTTAAAAGTTTAAAAATTGTCCCATCCAATGCTATATAACTTCATCCATACTTCCAATCTTTAGCATGTTTCATTCATAGAATAAAAGTATGTAACTGGGAGTGCATGGACATTTTATCTGTAGTGGAGCATTGGATTATTTGGCATGTATGCAGAGCTGTTTGTGATGTTGTCAAGCTATGAGCTGCACCCTCTGTAGTTCTCAGAATGGGAAGTTAACTATGAAAAATGATATAAAACTCTGATTAAAACCCCAATTCTACCAAAATATGCCCTCTACTCCCAGTTCCCTTTTCTCTTGGAACACCCAGAGAACTTTGCTCCCTTGACCTCACTACCACCGAACAGGTCACTAAGATTTTCTTCAAAGCCCGCCTCACTACCTGCCCCCTGGATCCTGTCCCCTCACAACTCCTGCGGTCCCCCTCCTCTTCCATCCTATGCTCCCTCACTCACATCTTCAATCTTTCCCTCTCCACCGGTACCTTCCCCTCCCCTCTAAAGAACGCGCACGTCACTCCCATACTTAAGAAACCCTCCCTGGACCCCTCCGACCTGAACAACCTAAGACGAATCTCCCTACTGCCATTTACCTCTAAACTCCTAGAACGCTTAGTCTACAATCGCCTGAGCTCCCATCGCACCGACAACAACCTTCTCGACCCTTTACAGTCTGGCTTCCGCCCCCTACACTCCACCGAAACTGCCCTACTGAAACTCACCAATGACCTACTAACCGCCAAAACCAATGGCCACTATACTATACTCCTACTACTTGACCTCTCTGCAGCTTTTTACATGGTTGACCACCCCCTCCACCTCAAAAAACTGCACTCTCTTGGCCTCAGAGACTCCGCTCTCTCCTGGTTCTCCTCCTATCTATCGCAGCGCTTCTTCAGTGTTACCTATAACGCTGCCACCTCCTCTTCACTCCCTCTTTCTGTCGGGGTCCCTCAAGGTTCTGTCCTCGGACCCTTCCTCTTCTCCATCTATACCTCCTCCCTTGGCCAATTGATAAACTCCCACGGCTTCAACTACCATCTCTATGCCAACAACACACAAATCTATCTCTCTACCCCTCACCTCACCCTCCCCCTCAGTCTCCAATCGCATCACCAGCCTACTAAGTGACATATTGGACTTTATGTCACTCCACTTCCTCAAACTCAACCTTTCCAAAACTGAGCTTCTAGTATTCCCCCCAGCCCATGCCCCCCCCCCCCCCGACTTCTCCATCAAGATCAACAACACTACCATCAGCCCCACCCCTCACGCCAGGGTACTAGGTGTAATCCTAGACTCCAATCTCTCCTTTCAGCCCCAGGTCCAATCACTGACAAACTCATGTAGACTTCACCTCCGCAACATCTCCAAGATACGACCGTTCCTAACCTCGGAAACCACTAAGCAACTCATTCACTCCCTTATTATATCATGCCTTGACTACTGTAACTCCCTCCTCACTGGCCTACCTCACCGCAGGCTATCCCCACTCCAGTCCATCATGAATGCTGCTGCTAGACTCATTCACCTTACTAACTGCTTTATATCTGCCAATCCCTCCACTGGCTTCCAATTGCCCAACGGATAAAATTCAAAACACTAACACTGACGTATAAAGCCGTTCATAACACTGCCCCTAATTACATCACCAACCTTGTCTCTAAATACCACCCAAACCATACTCTCCGCTCCTTACAAGACCTCCTACTCTCTAGCTCCCTTGTCTCTTCCTCCCATGCTGGTCTCCAGGATTTCTCAAGGGCTTCACCCATCCTCTGGAACTCCCTACCCCAAGCTATCAGGCTATCGCCTACTTTGCTCACCTTTAGGCGCACTCTGAAAACCCATCTCTTCAGGGAAGCCTACCCCGCCCCCCCCACCTAATATTGGAATCCACTACTCCTCCTACCACTCCATCCCCCACAGCTAATTACCTCTTGTACCACTATCCCCTCCCTCCTAGATTGTAAGCTCCAAGGAGCAGGGCCCTCTAATCCCTCTTGTATTGAACTGTATTGTTACTGTACTGTCTGCCTCCATAATGTAAAGCGCTGAGCAAACTGTCGGCGCTATATAAGTCCTGTATAATAATAATAATAATAATTACTGCATATTTATTTTCAAGGGGTCTTCTGCCTGGTCATATGACATCATGGGTCCTCTTCTTCATCTTCCTCCTGAACATTTCATGGCACCATTCCCTGCAGCTTTATCCTGTGAGTCTGGGGTGACTTGATGAGACACCCCCAAGGGGTAGTTTCTTAATACCTTGACACACAGGAAGTGGATTGAATTACACAAGGCATCATTCAACCCAGAAAAAATGGTGCTGGGTAGAGTGCTGTGCTCCCATTTTTTGATACACACAGGTTCACTTTATTTACTAGTCTACATAAAATCTAAATGTCTATGAAAAGAATCTAAAATTCCTGATTTCAAAAACATCTTTGACTTTGTATCATGTCTGTAGGGTTTGATGTCCCTTGTGGAAGAGTTAAAAAAGGTTGAACATTTGAATGACAACGGTGTTAGAATCGTGCTACTTGGCTTGGACAACGCTGGGAAGACGACAATATTGACTCGACTTGCACTGGAGGAGGCCAGCAGTATAACTCCAACACAGGTGTAGAAACGTGCACAAATCCATACCTCCACTCAAGCCTCGCCCCTTTTAAACATGGACAATCCAGGTGCTAGCCACTATTGTCTGTCCCCACTCTCCATCAAAAATATGAAAGGATGTATCTGCTGTATGCCACTCTTACATACTGTAGCTCCTCTTACCATATTTATTAATAGTCAATAAGTGGACAGCGTACAGTATCTCCATTCGAGAACCAACCTTCCTTGATGCATTTCAACACTACTGCAATAGGAAGAAGGGTCAGCTGCACACCAGAGGACAGATGAATAGAGTGTATATTTATTGATCCATAGGACACGCAAAACACCAGGACATGAATACAGGACCTGTTAATGCGTTTCACACGATCTAGTGCTTAATCATGAAAATCGTGTGAAACATGTTAACAGGTCCTGTGTTCATGTCCTGGTGTTTTGTGTGTCCTATGGATCAATAAATATGCACTATATTCATCTATCCTTCGGTGTACGGCTGACCCTTCTTCCTGTTGCATCGTGTGTGGTGGCGAGCCAGAGCCTGCGCCTGTTGTGGATTGATCTGGATTGTTTGCCTGAGTGGTATACCTCTGTTCTTTGGTTTAAACACTCCTGGCTTGCTCACAAGGAGAGAGGAAATCCTTGTGAGCAAGCCAGGAGTGGTGAAACAGGTCAAGGAGGGTTGGTTCTAGGGTGGAAACATTGTTGTATGCAGTCAACTTATTGACTAATAGTAAATATGGCAAGAGGAGCTAAGAGTAGAGTGTGGCTGATACATCTTTCCAACACAAGTGTGTTTCTGGTTTTGTTCCACTGACTTCAGAATATAATCGTGTCTTTGCAATATCTCATTTAGAACACCCTAGTGGTCCTTCTATGGTGGGTACAGTTTCAAGTTTGTGGAATAGTACCACTCGAAGCCAAATGTGAACAGCTGAAAAACCTAGCCTCCACAAAGAACATTTGTAGTAACTGATCAACATTTTAGTGAATGGCTCCACTCTTTTGTGTGGGTGGGTGTGAGCAGTGTTAGATGTATAAATTTAAAGTTCTGAGCTGTGCACTGAAGTTAGTAAGTCTGAAGTTCCTTTTGCTTACCACATGTGTGGCCAACAATAATGTATGTGAATTCTGTGCCTCTCAGCACAGTGGGATGGGTGTACATGTGCACAGGACAACTATAACAGGAGTACATAGTAGTACAGCATTAACATTATGGCAGTAGCCCTTTAATAATGAGTTTATTAAAAAAGTTACATTTGTCAAATTTGTCTCAGTTTTAACTCTCTGTTTTAGGGTTTTAATATCAAAAGTGTCCAGTCTCAAGGTCTAAAGCTATCAGTTTGGGACATTGGAGGCCAAAGGTCCATTCGCACCCATTGGAAAAAATATCTTGGAAGCACAGATTTACTGGTGAGATAACTCTACTGCATACAGGCAGTCCAAAAAATGTGCAATATTGAATAAAGCAGAGTTTTACCAAAAAGTGTAAGCTCCACTTGTTTACCTCCTCCCCCCTCCACTGCCATATTTGGCACTTTTTTGGGGGGGAGTGGATACTTGGTTTTGAAAGGTACCCGCTCCCACTTCTGGCGCAGTTCACCATGGCAAAGTGAGACGGAAGCTTGGCCCCCTCCTTCCTCCACAGTCCTCTGGGACACTTCACAGGTCTCAAAAGACTGCAGGATCAATCAGGATGCATAGCATGACAGCTGAGACACTGGCGCCGGGGAGAAAGGAGGCAGAGAAGGGATGGCGCGGGTGAGAAAATCGCCGGACCCTGGGACAAGTGAGTGTGTGTTTATTAAAAGTCAGCAGCTACAGTTTTTGTAGCTGCTGAATTTCAATAAACACAAAAATGACTGGAACTCCGCTTTGATATATTTGAGCTACTGGCTTGTTAATAAGCAGGACATAAATTCCTGCATGATTCTAAAATGTGCCTTTCAGCTCCCTCAATCTTGTTGACAAAAGCCATGATGGAGGTTTTCATTAAGTCCCCTTGCACACAGGTGTCATAATTTACTGATGTTTACTCAGGAGCTTGTGACGCCCATGTGCAAAGGGTCAAAAACTGTGTGTGAAGACCTCAGTAATGTTGAGTATAGGCGAGTAAAGTTGTGTAACCATATAGATGAGTACAGATTAGTAAAATTCTTCTTCATTGCCAGTATTGTGGTCCCTTGCACATGGGCATCACAAGTTCCTGAGTAGACATCAGTAAATTATGATGCCCTTGTGCAAGGGGCTTAAACGATTCAACAAATGAGTAAATTACTGCACTCAAATTTTTGTTTTACTGCTCTGTACTCAACGCTGTATTACTGATCTTTACTCAGTTGTGTGCAATGTCCCATAGACAACAATGCATCTCATTTCAGATCAGTAAAAAAGTAGATGAGTAAAAAACTCTGCATTTTTCACTCTCATGTGCAACAGGCCTAAATGGAACCTGGCAGATCAAAAAACGTATTCAGGTCAACAATACCAGATGTTTGGTACCCAAAGTGGAATAAATGCACATCTAGGGGAAGGAATGTAGCACAGTGTATAATTTCAAAGTTCCAACAAGGTGGTAACAGGGCTTGAATATCACGGTCGATATATGGCAGGACCTTACAGAAGGACAGTAGTACACAGTCTCAATACTGTAGAAGACAAGTTAGCAGGTTTTACAATACCCAACAGCATCTTATCAAAGGTGACTGGTAGGCAGTGTGGCAACAGAGGCACCTAAGAAGCAGAAGAAAGGAGGTCCAAGGTAGCAGCTCAGGGGTAAGGTACCTACACTGTCCCTCCTCCACCAGAACCTTTCCCTATGCTAGACACACTGTCCCTCACCACAGGGTTCCTGTCCCTGATCTAGCCTCTTCACGAAAGTGCATCAGCTGCAGAGGGACAATGTTTTTGTGTCAGTAGATGGCCGCCCAGGTCATCCAGCACAGCAGTATCCATTCAGATGACTGCTCCCTTGATGATGCCTATGCATAGCAACTACTGTAACAGCACCACTTGTACAGGGATACGGAACTACACCTGTCTACACACCACAACCTAAACTTTTGGCAAAAAGGTGACAATTTGCCCCACACTTCCTGTTGTCATTACTAAAAGTACCAACATAAATGGGAAAACTGTTTTCATAGACATTTGGCCTAGGATGACAGGAAATATAAATCTTGACCTGGAAATAAAAAAATGTATTTAGAATGTGCATATATAAGTATATAGGAAATAAAGTCATCATGCTGCAATACCATTTTTTATTTTGTTTCAGATTTATGTAGTGGACAGTGCAGACCGTAAACGGTTTGAAGAAACAGGGCAGGTAAGGTGTTCTAAAAATCTTTCTGAAAATCTTTTAAATTAGAACTTTGCAGAAGTTGTTGTACAGAAAAAAAAAAACAGAAGAAAGGAGGGTCCCTCTTCCAATCTGACCATCTTCTTTCTTTGTTTTCTCAGTAATAATATTCTGAAATAAGAGACAAGACAGGGGGGGCATAATGTATGGTTGTTCCCATTTTGATCATTTTACTATGTGTATTAGATATTCAGCGATGAACCGGTCTTTAGTGTCATTTGTAGGCCAACGATGTTCCACATTGTGGAATATTTCCTTTTTTTAACCAAATAATATATCTACTGTCATACATGTACAGAGTTAGTTTGGTTACTTTTGGGATTCTATTGAAATGGCTCTAGCTGATTTTGTTACAGCTTTTTGATACAGGCATTGGCCAGATCTGATTATTATATCTGACAACTATGTTATGTGACTGTGAGAGACCTTTGCAAACCGGGTGATGACTTGTCTTCAGTTGCTGGCAAGATTTACTAAGTTGCATCCAGACAATGGCTACTATAAAATGGGACAGTACATCTATACCCCTGTATAGCTCCTACCTTTGGGTTACTGTGTAGGGGACATCTTGTCCTCATCACCACATGTGCAACTGTCAGTTACAAGCTCACTAGTTATACAATCACATATTAACCACTTTGCCTCTCACACCTGTTCACCCCCCTATGGACCAGAGCAATTTTTACAATTCTGCTATGGACTTACTTATTTGGCAATAACTCTCTCATTACTAAATATAACAAGGTAACACATATATATTGTTTATATGAAGATAAACAAGGCTTTTTTTGTAAGTATTGTCTTGCAATATTTTTTTTTCGCAATCTTCAGACAATTAAATGTAACAAAACTAAATAAAAGGCACTTTTTATTTTTTTGACCAGTTTTAGTTTAAAAATAGTGTTATTGCACATAGAAAGTGCACCTTTTATTCTGTTATTTGTCTTGTTTAAAATGGCACTAAAATTATGATTCTGCTACAAAGTTTTTTACAAAACAAATTAGGTGGATTTTTTTTTCAATTTTGCACTTTTCAAAATGGGAAACGTGTAAATATATGTTAATTGTGTGGCAATACTAACAAACAAAACAAACAAAAACTAAAAAAGTTTAAATATTAATGGTTCATAAAACAGAAACTAACAAAAAAAAAATCGGCAGGAAAATAATAATGGATAAGGAGAATGAGAAAAGAGTTAATTATGGCTGATTAGAGTAAACTAAGGGTTAATAAGGGGTTAAACAGAGGAATATTTTATATATATATATACTAAACTTTTTTTTACTTGTCAGGTTGCTTTAGGTGACATCAGCTGAAGATTGAAGTTCATCTTCAGATGAGAGAACAGAATGATACAAAAGTTAAAAAAAAGTGCAAAAGTAACAATATGTTATGTTGCATCTTTCTATATTATCTGAGTTAGTGTTTAAACACTGTCAGACTGCTTTTCTTTTGACAGTTGAAGCTGCTGACCTTTTCTGTGTACACAGCAATGTCAGCTTTGATTAATCAGAATCAAATTGCTGTGTACTGGGAGGGGAGAGCAGGGCAGAAGGCTTGGATGTACTACACACATCCTGTGTACAATGATACCCTTATTTTGGGCATGTGTAGCATGCCCAAAGTCTGGAACTAGTTAAAGTAAATCTAATCCTTTTGTTTTGAATAATATAACCAATGGTTAATTTGCAATTTGAGTTCTTCGAGGGACTTTACATCCTGTACCATACACAAAAAAAGTGAGAGAAAATCGCTCCAAAGTAGGGGGAGTCCCTCTAAGACAGTTGTCACCAGAATAATTGTTCCCACTGGAAGATTTCTCCTCTATTCCTGTTCCCAATCTCCCAGAGGCTATGTCATTAGGTTAGAGAACAGAAGTGCCTAGAAACATTCACATATTAAGATGCACATTACTATTTTCAGGAGCATTTAAAGACAATGGGTAGATTTTTCAATGCATTGCTTAGTCAGAAATGAACCATTCTATATATTGTTTCCATCAGGAGCTGGCAGAACTGGTGGAAGAGGACAACTTACTGGGTGTCCCCCTTCTAGTGTTTGCAAACAAGCAGGATTTACTGACGGCCGCCCCTGCTGCAGACATTGCTGCTGGACTCAACCTGCATACATACCGTGACCGAATATGGCAGATCCAAGCCTGCTCTGCCCTCTCTGGAGAAGGGATCCAGGTAGTACAGTGTTTGTGTGTACTGCAATCACAATTAATACATTAGAAAATGGCTGGAAAATTGAGGGCTCATTCACACCTGTGCGGTGTGGCAACATATGCTAAAACCTTGGTGTCTAAACAACGCATGGCAGCGCACCTGCTCTAGTATGTGCTGTGTGTTGGGTTGCCATTAATACTCTATGGCAGGGGTAGGCAACATTAAAGAGGTGGAGATCTACCTGGAAAACATAGGAGAAGTCAAAGATCACTGGGCACAGATTTAAACATTTAATTGCCCTACTAATCTGTCGCAAACCGCAACACATCAGTGTCAAAGCAGCCCTTATGTTCAGTGTATTGCTTCACACTGACCTGAAGATCTCTCCTTTCCTGCTGCTGGCACCACTTTGGAGACCTCTAGCTGGGATAAGAGGTGGAGTGCAGCTGGTATTACTCTGCATGGGACAGGAACCAGCACTACAGAGGAGGCATCGGCTTATGCTGCTTACTATGGCTCCAACTTTACAAGCAGTCCCACTGCATTGAACTCTGTTTGATGCTCTGGGATGGCGGTCAGCAAGCCCAGATCGTGATCTACCAGTCACCTAGCCGAGATCTACTGGTAGATCACGATCTACTGGCTGCTGACCCCCGCTCTATGGGAAGCATAGAATAAATCAACTCATTGGATGGCACATACAAATCACTAATGTTTACATACCTTTAGGCTGGCTGTTTTCCAGACCAGTGACATTTTGTGTTCCACATCTCTCTTGTGAAAAAGCATAGGGTGTCATGCAGTGAGCTGTGGTAGGGGAAGATGTAACCCATCAGAATCATTCCCTAAAGGCTTGTTCACACGGGTGGCAACATATCACCTCCTCGCTGACTGTGAAATGCTTTCTGCAATGTGATCTACGATGGTTCACTTTTCAGAGGCAGCATATCCACACATATGAATGAACCCTAAGACTGAGTTCACAATTCTGTGGTATGGCATATCGCATGTGATTCGCACAGGAACCGCAGCACATTTCTGTACAAATCACATGTGAATTCTGTGCAGTGTGATTTGAGCCAAACATTTTGTATGGCTCAAATCGCACTTCATCTGCGCCAAAAAGGTGCAGGACCCTTTTTTTTGGTCTGCACTAGAATCGGATCTCATGGGTATTCACACCTATCTGATCTGATTTTGCACATTGCACCAATTTCAGGGTGTTGTTAACTTAACCTCTTCATGCCAGCACATCCTGGCCCTTTAAGAGTTTCAGAAGCCGGGAGGCGGAGTTTAGGGTCATGTGACCGCCGTGCTTCTCCGTCATGGCGGTCATATGATCAGAAGAGGTCCTGATCGAAAGAGGAGATCAGGACCTTTCCGGGAGCCGCAGACATAAGTGCTGGGAGCGCGCAGGGTGCGTGCGCTCAGCACATATGTATTTTCTAATTGCATGCAAATATGCAGCCGCTCTGCGTCAAGGCCCAGATGCCAAGAGGCAGCATATTTGCGTGAGATCGGCGTCAAGGGGTTAATATATACACCCACAGCTGTTCGCAAGAACGGGGTGCGATTGTGATGCATTGCGGAATTCATGCAGAAACCGGTGTGAATTCCGCAACGCATCAATGTGATCCCAGGCTAACTGCAAAAGCTTTGGTAAACTATCCCGTTTTACTATCAGTTAATGTAGAAGAGGAGATGGACATTAGAGGATGAGAATAAATAGATATAACAGATGACTGCACCCAGTGTTACCGATTAGATTTCAAGGAAATAAAATGACATGCACTAATCATGGTTTATGGAGTTTATGACATCTATGACCTGCATCATTTATACTGGAATATTTTGTCATTAGAATATTTATCTTTGCTTCATATGCAGGATGGAATGAACTGGATATGTAAAAACATTTCGGCAAAGAAAAAGTGAAATCTCAATGTAGCAAAAACAACATAGAAGAGAGAGAAACTCCTATAACTGAACACTGGTTTTCAGATATTTGTTGATGCTGTTATACTGGACTGTAATAAAGATACTTATACCCTACAGCTGGTCATGTGATTATATATATTGAGCTGGACACGCCCATATTTGAACCCACAACCAAACCAGACTAGCCTGAACTTTTTTTGCTTTGAACAAACTAGAGAAATGTTAGAATCTCTGTTTATATTGTTGTCTGTGTGCCCACTGGGAAAATTGTTCCTTACTTCCTGTTTCTTTGACACCAGGACATAAATCAAGAGGCATTGTGGCAGCACCCAAATATTGCAGAGTTCCCCTTTAAGCTTTAACATTTCTAAAAGCATCTGTTTCCAGAACCAGGTCATCAGCTCACTTCCTCCCGTTTCATGTGGAACAATGTGTCCTAGTTTAGCAGCTGACACCCTAACTTTCAGTTGGTGATATTTTATCTAAATGTGAAACCGCAAAGGCTATAGCCTGAACTGCTCAGAATGTATTTTAAAAGTACAAAAAGTAAAGAGGAAATATATGCATTGTGATGTAATTGTTGATATATACACCATGTAAGAGGCTTTTAAGACACTTAGCTTGTAGACAGAAGTCTGGCTAAGTCAACCAGCTGGTAAATAAAAAGCTTGTTTTCCTCAAGTTCATGTCTGGAGTTTTCCTGGAATTCCCAAAGTTGCTATTACAGCATGGGGTTCACCAACACCAGAAGACACAGACAGCATTTAATGCTGATCCAATTCATTAGCATGTGTTGTTGTCTCTATCTCCATTGCAGATTTCTCTGACTTCCCATCTCTTGACAACTGGTGATGGGACATGGACAGAATTAAAGGGGTGATTCAGGGGATTTGTGGGCACCCAAAATGCATTGGCTACTCCTTTTATTGTCACTTGGACCCTTGCAGGAATAAAATTGTATTTGGACTATTAAACAAGTGATGTGGCCTTTCAATTATTCCTCTTCTTGCAAAAATAAAAACCCAACAGAGGTTTTATTTCTTCCCCAACCTGTCCAAAAGTAAAAAATTTGCCAAGAGACTGCCCTTCTGCTTACTGAACACAGGAGGTGATCTACTTGTCATTTAGAGAACACTTTAATTTTCTGAATAAATGCAATGTGTTTTACAATTGGATGAGGTAGAGAGCGTGATGTCACTTCCCTGCATTAGCACTTCATCCAATCAGAGAATGCTTTGCATTCATTGAGAAAATTCATAGTATTCCCTGAATGGCATCTGTGTCAAGCAAGTGACCTCATATGTCCACAATGCAGCAGCATGGGACCTGAAAGCTAGCAGCAGTCACTTAAAGTGTTACTAAACCCACAACAGTAAAATCAGTCTGTATATGCAGTAAAGCATGCTTGTTATACTCACTGTGGAACTTAAGGGGTTAATTCTCTGCATTGCTTAAAAAGGATGTTTGATCCTGACTTCTCTGCTCCTCCTCTTGTTCAAATGTCCACCTCTTATCTCCTGATAAGAGAGGCTGAACCCATGAACCCAGAGCCATTCTGCACATGCTCAGTTTAGTGTGTATTGCTAGAAAGGTTTTTTTTTTTCTTGGGAGAGTGCATGTGATCAGCACAGATCCAGTCAGCACGGTCCGGACAGAAGTCAGGGGTTCTGCAGGATGCCTAGAGCAGAAAGAAAACTCCTCCTACAAGCTTTAACCAGTGCTCTACTGAACACTGATAGAAGTCACAAGACTGCTATATACTGCTGATGAGAAAAGGTATTTAGCAGTTTATATTTACTACAATAATTGCATTTCCATGTTCTGTGTACTGTGAGAGACCAGATATAGTGAATGCAGGGCCCTGGGTTTAGTAACACTTTAAGTAGCAGTGCCTATTACAGTGATTTCCAGCCTCCATAGGAATCCCACAGATATAATTGGTCCAGGCTAGGGATGCACCGATACCATTATCAGCGTGTACTGATATTTTCGGTCAAGTACTCACCAATACCAAGTACCGATACTTTGCATTGTGAATTGCATTAATGGAAACAAATTGCACCGCAAAGAATAGCATGCGATTCCTGTACAAATCGCATGCAGTTTCCCCACTGCTCCTGTGTGAACCCAGACTTGTCATAGCCCGAGTTCACACAGGAGTGGTGCCGGAAACCTCCCTGCAGGCATCCCATGCTGAGTGTAAATGGTGTAAGAGGAGAGAAAGCCCAGGCAATGATAGGCAATTACATACTTACAATGATCTAAACAATGACTCTAATTTCAGGTTTAGATTTGTTTTTTCTTTGTACTGCACAAACCATAAACCTCATAAATTCCACCTACACAGGGGCGGACTGACAACTCATGGGGCCCCCGGGCAATAGGGGATCATGAGGCCCCTGTGTCCTTGCCCAAGCTCAAAAAAGCCTATGAAAAAGGTGCCAGGGGCATCTCATGGGGCCCCCTACTGACCCCGGGCCCTTGGGCAGTGCCCGAGTTTCCAAATGGTCAGTCCGCCCCTGAACCTACATATACTACTATGGCACAATCCAAGAGCTTGGATGACTTAAATATCTTCCCACCTTTCTGGGATCACTGCTATTCACTCAGTGCTGCATCATGATGCCGGGCCAGAATGGCTCCTGGAGCAAACAGAAGGGAAAATGTCCAGTATACAAATGAACTCAAATAAGTGACATGAATCAAGTGTCAAAACACTGAGTATGTGTATCAGCCAGAACCAGATTACCAAATAGGCAGAGTAGACACTGGCCTAAGGGCCAGATTTAGACCTTGGGGGGCTGAGGTCACTTCAGGTTTGGGGGGCACCTTATACACAGAGTTGGTTTTACATTCTCAATGACAGGCACACATTTCTAAGATCCATTATTATAATGCAATATTATTTTATTACTATAAATTTAAAGAACTTTATTATATTGTTTTAGTTCATTTAGTATAAAGGGAGCCCTTCTGTAAGTGGGGGCCCAGAGCAGTTGCCCCTTTTGCTCCCTTATAAATCCGGCACTGGGCCCCATGCCGTTTAAGGGCCGTGTGACAAAGGATGAAAATATTATTGATTTGATCATGAAAGAAAATTACAATTAAGCTTTCTTATATTGTTTACATAAGATAGAAAAGACAAATCAACTCAAAGAAACATTAGGCCTCTTTCACACGGGCGTTCCATGTATTTCTATGGACTAGCGGATGTAAATGGATGATCATCCAAAAACCCTATTTTTCTTTTGCCAAAAAACCCGGAACAGACGAAAAATGTCAACGGATTGTATGCAGCCCGGTCAGGTCAGGGAAGAGGGGGGGACGAGCAAGCAAGCGCCCCCCCAAACCATACCAGGCCACATGCCCTCAACATAGGGGGGGTGCTTTGGGGTGGGGGGCTCCCCCCCAAAGCACCTTGTCCCATGTTGATGGGGACAAGGGCCTCTTCCCCATGGTTGTGGGGGTCTGCAGGTGGGGGCTTATCAGAACCGAGGGCATGCTGGGGGCATGCTGGGTCAATGATGTCACACAGGGGCAGGGGCACATATATGATGGCCCCCGCCCCTTACATATTTACCTGTCATGCCAGCGGAGCAGTCAGACAGCGGGAGCCAGCGTCGGGAGCGCAGCCTTTTTTTTTTTTTCTTCTTCTTTTGGGTGGCGGCGGCGGTGGCGGGCAGTGTGATTTACATTGGATCTACTTCGGGGGACATTCTCTTATTTTCCTTCTTTTAATAAAGGACTTATCAAAGCCTGTCTCCTGTCTTTTTTCACAATACAGTTTTTTTTTGTGAATGGGTAGCGGTACCATGTACTCCATACCAGGGCGGACTGACAACTCATGGGGCCCCCAGGCAATAGGGGATCATGGGGCCCCTGTGTCCTCACCCACACTCAAACCTTACCCAAAAAAGCATATGAAAGGTACCAGCGGCATCTCATGGGGCCCCCTACTCACCCCGGGCCCTCGGGCAGTGCCCGAGTTCCCAAATGGTCAGTCCGCCCCTGCTCCATACTCATTCACACACAGGGGGCCAGGATCTGGGGGGCTTCCAGATTATGATAAGCCCCCCACCCACAGCCCCCCACAACCACAGCCCAGGGTTTTGGCGAAGTGGCCCTTGTCCCCATCAACATGGAACATGGGGACAAGGTGCTTTGGGGGGAGCCCCCATGACCCAAAGCACCCCCCCATGTTGAGGGCATGTGGCCTGGTATGGTTCAGGAAGGGAGGTGCTTGCTCCCCCCCCCCATTTCCTGACCTGCTGGGCTGCATTGCAAAGCGAAATAAAAACGAGAAGCGCACAAACCTTGCGCATTACCTCAGTAAACAGAAGTTTATTAAAAAGAAAGGTACTCACAAACAGCGAATAAAATCAGGCATGTAAGTCCTCACAGGGACTTCAGAGATAGAGGGCCAGCACGAATCGTGGGGGTAAGCACTCAGTTCAGTTGACGCGTTTCGAAGGCCAGACCTTCTTCATCAGAGCTCAGAGATGGGACTCGCGCTGGCCCTCTATCTCTGAAGTCCCTGTGAGGACTTACATGCCTGATTTTATTCGCTGTTTGTGAGTACCTTTCTTTTTAATAAACTTCTGTTTACTGAGGTAATGCGCAAGGTTTGTGCGCTTCTCGTTTTTATTTCGCTTTGCAGTGTTGGTCGGGCTTCCCCAGCCTTGTTTGGAGCTGCACAACCTTTGAAGCACTGGTGGTCGCTGTTTTTCCAGTTTTGGTTCCATCTATTTGCCACCTGCCTGGGTCCTAGAGCGCAGAAGAATTTGTGTTTGTTCTGCTGGGCTGCATGCTTGGATAAGGGTCTGGCATGGATTTTGGGGAGGGGACCCCCACGCCATTTTTTTTTAAATTTTGGCGTGGGGGTTCCCCTCAAAATCCAAACCAGACCCGAAGGGCTTGGTATGGATGGAGGGGGCGATCCCACATCATTTTTTAATTTTTTTTTTCATTGCCGGCAATTTTTTATTTTTTTTTTTACA